CTGAAAAACAAACTGAGGGTTCTAGAGGGGAGGGGGGTGGGGGGATGGGTTAGCCTGGTGATGGGTATTAAAGAGGGCATGTTCTGCATGGAGCAGTGGGTGTTATACGCAAACAATGAATCATGAACACTACATCAAAAACTAATGATGTAATGTATGGTGATTAACATAACATAATAATAAAAAAATAAAATAAAAATGCACATTCTTGAGCTTCACCTCAGACCTGCTGGACCCTAACCTCCAGGGCTAGGGTTTGGAAAGCTACATTTTTCAAGCTCCGGGGTGATTCTCATGCAAGATAAAGTTTCAGCAGCACTGTCTAGACTGATTAGTACACGCAGCTGGTGTGGACTTCACAGACAGTTGTGAGGTCTGAGAGCCCAACTTGGTCTTCCATAAAATGTTCACTATCCTCTGCAATGAAGGGGCAGGGGTCATGGGTCAACAGCCTACTTTGTAAGGTGGAGATTTGGGGACAGTAGGCTGTTAGCCCAACTTCCCCACAACTGCACAAGAACAGCCTTATTGTATGGAAGGCTGCTTTTGTTTCTGTTGTTGTTTTTCCATTTCTGAGTATAGGTATCTTTCCATGTTTTCAAGCTGTGCTTCTTCTGTCTTTGTATTTGGTGAGGAGGACCAAAGGCTCTGAAGCCCTGCTTTGCTTTCTCAGGCTCCAGGGCTCCTTGCTGAGCTTCTCCTGAGCAGACGCACACTCACTGTCTCTAGGGACTAACTCGAGAAGCTTTATTCTGGGAGCAAAGATCCCTGCCATCAGCTGCTCTGTATTTGGGGAAAGGGCAACTAAAATGCTAAAATAATTAATTAAATTGAGATTAATTAATCAATGTAATTTAATTGCCTTAATGGCTTCTCAAAGTTCCTTCAAGCTTTTTGATCCCAAGCATGTGTGGGTTTTGCTGCTGTTGTTTTATGTGTCTGTAATTGTGTCTCCCTGTGTGTATCTGTGAGTGTGAGTGTGTGTGTGAGTCTGTGACTGTGTGTGTTTGCAGTTGGTTTTGCTTTTAACATTCCGGGAATTTCTCAAAAATTTTAGTGTACCAATCTCCTTCTTTGATGTTTTCCAGTATGATAAAGTTTGATTCTTTAAAAATACGTAGTTGACCTCTTAACAATGCAGGGGTTAGGGGCACTGACCGTTATTCAGTCAAAAATCTATATATAACTTCTGACTCCCCAAAAACTTAACTACCAATAGCTTC